ACTACCAGCTCTGTGACTGAAATGCAACATGCAAAGTCTTTCCATCTTAAATTTGATACAACAAGTAATGAAATGTTGAAATGCTTTAAGTTAATACTGTGTTAAAACATCCCCGGAGAAGCAATGATATGCTAGTGCACAACAACTATAAGAGTGCAGATGTTTGATGACACATCTGCAGGTTTAAAGGAAATCCTAACACAATGAACAATCAAATGAAATATATAAAAAAATAAATACGAGCATGTCTGTTGACTGCCTCCAGCTTTGATCAGTAAAATGTGACGCAGCAGAGGTTCCGCTTTTATCTGAAAACTATATACAGGACAAATGCACCGGCACAAGCTATCTCTTTATTGCCGGGCACTAATGTTGACCTTTGCAAACACAACACGTCGAAACAGCCTGATCACACAGAAGTAAAGAAACTGGCCACATCCTGATAGCAGAGGATGGGATCCGGAGGCAATCGATTCACTCCTCAGCCAGACGGCACAGTGTACTTTCCAGCAGCTACTGTGAGCGCTGGGTTGAGCAGGGATTAAGGTCATTGCAGATGTCATGACGAGCGTCTATCAAGATGGGCCTGGGATTAAAGTCAGTTCATTGATAAATGCTCCATGTAGGATTATTCAAAGAGGGACCCTAAGGGTCAGACACTGGAAGTATTCATTGATTAAGGGTGTTTTGGATGGAATTAAAAGGAATAAATCTGTGGTTTTGTTTGTCTTTGACCCAGCAACAGTTTCCCAGCTTGATTTTAATGATCTCATATATGGTTTTAGCCATATTTGGCACTTTTTTCCTGCAAACTGGGGACAGAAAACAAAACAACCACATACTTCTATAAAGTTAAAAAAAAGTCTGTTGCTTGCAGGAGTCTTTTAAGAATATTTCATGGCACTGCATCAGATAAGAAAGCATGCTGTTGCAGATGCACTTCTGCTCATGAATCGCTGCCTGCTTCTTTTTAACCCCCCACAGCTTTGCATTGTGCTGTAACTTGCTGATGCGTTCTGCGGTGCTCTCTCTTCCATCCTACCTGAAACCTCCTGGGTACTGGTGCGTCATCCCTGACCTTTCCCTCTCCTCATGACAGCCATCCTGGACTCAATGAATCGAAATTATAATTACAGAGAGATAAAAATGGTCAATAAACTCATTATTTCCTACGCTGTGCATTGAGCTACCACGGTGCCAGACATTGCATGCTTAAGTAGCATTTAGAGAAATGTTTGCACTCATAATTTGATATTTCTCCTGCTAAGAATGATGTTTAGGATGCAGGTATGGATAGTATGGAAGTTTGAATATGGAATAATTGCTCAGTGTGACAAAGTTGAATTAATCTAAAGTAGCAAAAATGTAGCTTTTGAATATGAAGATTTGCTGGATACGGTTTAAACTATATGTAGTGTGAAAGGTATAAAGTATAGTGACAAATCAATCATCCAACAGCGTTTCTCTGTATCTATCAGCTCAGATTCAGTTTTACATCCTCCACTTTTTTGTTTAGCTCAGTTTCAGCCCAGTGAGCAGCCAATAGGTAATTACAAACTCACCATCAGATTTTTATTCAGATCTGACAACTCAGATGTAGATTTTTTTTGTTTCACTGTCTAGTGAGGAAGACAAATAAAGCAGCTTACTTCTTTCTTTAGTCTTTATTTTCATTCTCATTAGAGCCATTCTGGGGTAAAAGACAAGACATACACAAACAAGGCAGGAGGTCATACACACACCAGAACGAAAACAAAGAAAACACTTTACCCACATCCATTTGAGTTTCTGCTGCACGCTTACATCTTTAGAGTTATACAACTTAAATGGTCTCAATCTCTTCCCCAAGGCGTTCCCAAGCTACAGAGTTTACATAAAAAAAACACATTCAGCACTAGTGGAATTCCTCCTAATCAAAACCTCACTGACTCATACCAATTGGAACCATTTGGTATTAATAATAATAATAACTGGTAATTTTCCAGTTGAAGGGCTTGTGTCAGTGTTCTATCATTTATGCAAAGACTATTGTTAAAAAGATTCGATGTCTTGGTTTCCTTCAGCACATCAGATATTCTCAGCTCCAGTTTTCATGCATCTATCCTTCACTGCACTGGTACATCCCCATATATAATAAAATCCTGTGCAATCAAATATGTGCTTTAGATTTGCCAGACCACTTTAAAGACACCTTTACTGTATTGATGCTTTAAGAAACTAAAGCTGGAAAGAATAATTTATTCCTGTTTCTACTCATGGTTCGGATTATGATATATAGTCATTTGTACATATTTTTTTAAAACTTTTTTTGTAGTTTTTTTGTGATGCTACCAGCCTGCTGCAAAACTTCTGATTATTTTTTCCCATGTTGTATAGTCTCAGATGCCACATCTGAGTTTATCTCATAATTCCCCAGACAAGGATTTTGTGTTATTATGCTATACCAGCACATTTTCTCGCAGTTACTTATGTTACATTTGCCATTTTGCACACTGAAGAAGGCTGTCTGTCAAAAATCACTGTGCTGTAAAACAGACCCGTTTGCAGCACTTTGACAGCAGGAAAATCACGTGTCACTCCTGACACTAATGAAGGCTCTGTTCTTTTCAAGTGCCCCAGCGAGACACGGCAGTGTGGCAGCGAGCCAGCATGCAAAATACCAGCACCCAAAATAGAAGCAGCTGAACGGAATTAAGCCATCATTCATTTTATTACTGGTGCCTCTCCTTTTCCGCTTTCCTGTGAAATGTCAGAATGTCTTCTGGGGGCGGGGGCCCGCCTACTGATTTGCCCTCCTGCTGATGGCTTGTGTCCTGCAGGTGGTGAAGATGATGATTATTGTAGTGGTTACCTTCGCCCTCTGCTGGCTGCCGTATCATGTCTACTTCATCGCGACGGGTCTCAACAAGCGTCTGAGCAAGTGGAAGTACATCCAGCAGGTTTACCTGTCAGTGCTGTGGCTTGCAATGAGCTCCACCATGTACAATCCCATCATCTACTGCTGCCTCAATAGCAGGTGAGTCCAAGTCAGTCATCACCTCACCAACACTAATCAGAGCATAACTGCATGTCAGCGTTTCGTTGGCTGCAGGTTTCGAGCTGGTTTCAAGCAGGTTTTCCGCTGGTGTCCTTTTGTCCGGGTGTCGAGCTACGATGAGCTGGAGCTCCAAAGCACAAGACTTCGACCGTGTCACCAGAGCAGCGTGTGCACCAGCATCCTGAGCAAAGACAAGAGCACTCGTGGAAACAGGTCAAAACCCAACTCTGAGCTGAATAATAAAGATAGTTAGGGTATTTTTGATCCAATGAGCGCACTCCAGCTCAACGTGAATTATTTATTTGTGGATTATTTATTTCATTTACATTATTTTGAACTGATTGCTTCATTTTTTTTTCCTGTGGATTTTTTTTTTTCACTCACAAACTCAAAGTCTGTTAGTTGCCCCTCGTACAAGAAAAGAGACCAGGGGGAAGAGAGCTTTTCAGTCTGTGGCACCAAGGGTCTCTGAAACAGTTTAACACTCTGGCTTTGTTTAGCAGACTCTGTGAGGTCTTTTTAAAAAGAAAAAAAAAACAACAAAATTGAAAAACATTTTTATTTAATCAGGCCTTCTGATGAATTTTTTTATGTGTGTTTTTATTTATTTTGATTCTGTTTTAAAATGCTTCTCTTGTAATTAATTTTGTTTAATTGTTGTACATCGATTTGTAAATTTAATGCCTGTGAAAAGTGCTCTACAAATAATCTTTACTTACTTATTATGAAGGATTAAAATTGCGCGCAGAACGAGAAGAATGACAGCCTCTATGCTGGTGGTTAAAAACAAACCAACAAAAAGAAAAACAGGTATGTAGTTGTAAAGCCCTGGCTGTTGATTTGGGCCATTTATTGTGCCTGACAGCTGACAAAGGAAGCGATGGTGCATTAATCCTGAACACACATACATCATAGACATATTTTTTTTTTGATGAAGACTCTTGTGGATTATTCTAATTTTAGAATAAATATAACTATGAAATGTTTTGCTTTACTATTACTGCCTTCCAGTCATTAAAATGTTTAATAGTTTCATTTTTTTTTATTATGACATGTTTCTGAATATATTTTTGTTAATAAAATGTCAAAACTTCATATTTTTCGTTGCTTTGTCTACATGAATGTTGTGGGCGTATGTGTATAAATTGAATTATGTGATCATGTGAGAAATTACAAATGTGGTGGGGTTTTTTTTTCCTTTTTTGGGGGGTGGGGGAAGGCACTAAATCACACCATACAACTGTGACTACATTTAATTTCTCATAAATGCCTAACAAAGAATTTTAAATATTTCCATTACTGAGTACCCAGAGGTAAAAAGTGAGAACTTTTTATAAAAGGTCTAAAAAAAAATTCAATTTCTCTTGTTTGTTTTGATTACATTAACACATTTGACACCATTGTAGATCTCAGTGGCTCTGATCAACTTCAGCATCAAAAGTAATGTTGCTTTACTGACTTTAATGTCTTTAAATCAGTTTTAGTGACACTGTTTTTGGAGGTGTTCAGATGTTACCTGTGTTTCATGTTTGTACATGTTAATTCACAAGTGCTTGCTGATGTAGTTGCAGGAAGCATGTGCCGTGTGAACTGTGTGGTTTTTCTGTATATAGGTGTTCTAACAGTATGTAGGTATTAATGTAAGTAAATTGTTAATAATAATAATAATATGTATTATAATATTTAAATATTTTGCTGCTGACTCACACATGAATACAAAAAAAAGACATATTTAGCCTTTACAGTGTGAATGTGTGTTTGTGTGTGTCACTAATGTGAAGTCTAATGATGAGTGTTACATTTAGACAGTAATTATTGTCCGGCTACTGGGCGAGTGACGTATTATGGTGTTTAATTTGGGGAAGTAGGACTTAATGTGTATATTTGTAAAAACCAAACCAAAAAAAAATCGTTAATTGTAGGTAAAATGTTTGTGTGATCACATTAAATTTGTTGTAAAGCCTTTTGATTTTTGCATGTTGTTTATTTGATAGGGAAACAGTAGGAATCCTTGAGGCGTGGTGTCTTTACAAGCAGTTTGAGAGGGAGAGCATTGCTGACTGTAACGACTAAAAAAAGCATTCTAAAACTTGTGAGCTAGTAATTTACAGATATATACACACTGAAGGAAGTTGTAAACAGTATTCAACTTAGAAAATGTTCACTGACAAAAATGTAAAAATGGATGAGTTCACAGATTAATTAACGAAAGAGAGAAAACTGATACCTAAGATTCTAAATTCTATTTTTTGGTTCAAAGATTCAGTTCATCCGTCAGACTCACAGGTTATTTACATGTGACATTGGCTGTGGCTTCACATGAGCCTGAAAATTTAACCCAGCATGGTCCACACCAAATTTCTGAACCTAAAAACTAAATTTCTCAATTATTTGGATTTTCTATGTGCCACTCTGCCTTGTTTTTAGTCCTCTCGTGACAGCCCATAAAAAAAATCCTGGAAACACTCCTCCTGTGAGGAGTTAAAGCTCCACAATACTCAGTCTCAATTTAGCCTGGAACAGCTGCAAGTAATTCCCATCTCTCATTTGTTTTCATTCTTTTAAAGTACACAAGTACAAGAAATAATAAACACATGCATAAATAATATATGTGAATTGGGTCTGTAATTCATAACATATGACAAGCAGAAAAGAATATTTGATAATATTTTGGCAGCCTACTTTAAAACTTTATTTGATAGATACTACAATCTGCCAAATAAAGTGCCAACAAATTGTAAAATGAATAAACAAAGCAGTACTGTAGATGATAACACTCAGGAAACTGTTCTTACTAAGCAGTTAAAGAAAACAAAGATGAGGCCGCAAGCACTGATACAAGCCACAGGGTGGAGACAGCAGCTGGAGGAGACCTGAAGACATGGAAACAAAGCAGAGAGGGGGATTACTGTAAAATCTTTTTTTTAGTTACTAAAACACGAACATGATACATTTCCAAATGGTAAAACCTCTGAGATTCAGAAAATGTTGAAATGTATAATTTATTTGAGATACATATGCATTTTTTAAGTAGCTGGACATACGAAATGTTTTCATGTGCTTTAAATGGTAAACATTTATAGCTTTAACACCACACTGCAGTTCCAAGATCAAAATTTGTGAAATTAATATGAAAAATATTTCACTTTAATTGAGACAATATGAATCTTACCGTGAAAACATGTAACAGTTGTGTGAGCTGTTCAGTCCTGAGTGGTTTAAAACAATCTCAAGGTATTCGTCACCATCCGATGTAGTTTTTGTTTTCACTCGTTGCACAGTGAAAACTTCTGCTGGAGATAAGAGTATTTCATCCTGTTCTTGACCGCAAACATAGTCTTTCAGGTTGACAAAGAAGCAAGAAGTGAGATTTAAAATAGTATTCTCATTGACATCTTCAAGTCTCTTTAGCTCTTCATAGTTTGAATAAGCTAAAGTGAAACTTGTAAATCTCACTGTGGAGCCTTTCTGTGGTTTGTTTTGACCATCTCGAAAAACATAAAAGTTCTTGCACTCCTTTGGCTTCAGCAGCCTCATGGAGTCCATCAGCAGGAAATGAAGAGACTTGAATTGGAATCGGTTTTTATAGATGTTAACATTTCCACCCATTGTCTCTATTGCTTTGTTCAGTGTTAGTATGAAAGGCCGGTCTCCTTTAAGATAGACTGAAAGTGCAGCAGTATGCTCTTTTCTTCCTCCAGGGATCTGCTTTGAACACTCAATACTTTTATTCCACGCTTTCTGAAATCCTTCACTGTTGTTTAGTTCTTTTTTTAACACGTCTGACTCGATGAACTTCTTCATGGCCTCTTCACGACATCCTTTGTACTGGTCATCTACAACATCTGTGGTCTTTTGGACATCCAGTAATCTTGTATCCTTTGCGGCCACCTTTAATTGAGGTGTATCACATTTAAAAAGACATTTTTAAATGTATAATTTTTCTAACCTTCGAATATTTTTTTAAACACAATTCTTACTTTATAGCAGACAAGCATGAAAATTATTGCAGCAAGAAGCACTTTTCTTCTGCACCCCATTTTTGTTCTCTTCTTCTTCTGAAAGAAAGCACTGCAGGATCAAATGTGGACAGAAAAAAATTCTTTAACACTTTACACAATCCAGAAACAAGTTTAAAATTTTAAATGTTGGAAAGATTGAAAAGCACATACCTGAAGCAAGAAGAGTAAACTTGTGTTAGCAACTCACAAAAAGGCTGTATTGTACTGTACTGTACTGCAGGGAACACAGGGTGTGGAGGAAAGAATCAAGATGTCATACAATAGAACTTCTTAGTCTTTCCTGTGGAAGGAAGTAAAAAGGCACTGGGGGACCAGTTGTCCAGTTATTTATCCTGAGTAAGCTACCCAGTTCCTCTAAGCTTGTTCAGGTTTGTTGTAAACTGCTTTACAGACCAAGTAATGGTTGCATAGTTTTGCCCCTTTAAACCAGCAATAATTTATTTGTGTTCTAACATAATTTCAGTATAGCTGATTGGGCCAGATACCTCAGTAATTCTTCTGTGCAGCCTTTATCCAAAGTAAACAGGAGACTCCAGCAGCCCTAGTTGGACATCTTAAAGTTACAGTGTGATATGTTCTGAGCTCACAGTACTGTTGTCCACACTGAGCAGTAACTTAACACATTAACCTTACATGCTTTTGCTTTGTATCATGATCTACCCACCTATAAACATTTCACTGTGACATGTCAGCAATCAGCATGGAAGAAATGTAACAATACTTTTCTTAACATAAACTTATAAAGTACTAGTGAAGTAATCACTTGATACTCTTCATATGATATAGCTGGTAAATTAAGCACTAAACTAAACACTTTTTAGTGCACACATACCTGATGACTTTCCACTGTATGTAGAATTGTTTTCTCCACTGTTCTCTGGTGCTTGTTAAGAGTAAATTCCTGCTGAGCAAGATCATGTTCTGTTTCCTACTTTCCACTCACGCCCTCCCTTGCTTTGTAGTAAAACATGCATGCTAAAACTTGGGTTTGCAGAGCACTCTGACAGGATTTTGTATTGCAAAACTGTTCAGTTTGAGTAAGAGGAAGGAGGGAGTGCTGTGGATTCAAGCAGTACCAGGCGTAGAGATTAGATAGTTTCATATATTTCGCATATATTTCGACATGAATGTCCATGGAAGGACTTGTTTTCCAGCACATCCCACAGATGCTCAACTGTGGTGTTGACTAAAAAAATGAGTTTGAGTCAACACCTCAAACTCATTATTGTGAACCTCAAACCATTCCTGGACCATTTTTAGTTTGTAGCAAGATGCATTACTCTGCTGAAATTAGTGTCAGATTACTTTATTAATCCCTAAGGAAATAATGTGGTTACAGTTGCTCCAAGACAACAACAGTAACAGACTGAACTAAATTAAATAATACAATATATTACAAAGTTACAAAATTTAAGAAATAGCTCTAAAAAGCTCCAATTATCAATATCCAGAATATTACAGAGGTGAAATATAAATGATTGGAATTTTACTCTAAACTGTAAAACTTGTTATTTGTTATTTTCACTGTCGAGGATGTGCAAAAGGGTGTAACTACTGCAGTGTTTACAGTGCATTTGATGGAGGAGTTGTACAGAGAGATGGACATAGATAGGAATGATTTCCTGTGTCATTCAGTTGTGCCTTTCTGTAATCTCAGTGTCTCACTGAACGTGCTGCTGTGACTAGCAAGCATGTCATGGAGTGGGTGGAAGGTTTTGTCCAGCATTTTCATTATCTTGGACAACATCCTGCTCTTAGACACTACCCTAAGAGATTCCAGCTCCATCTCCACAACATTACTGGACTTGCTGATCAGTTTATTGAGTCTGTTGGAATCTGCATCCCTCAAGCTGCTGCCCCAGCATGCAACAGCATAGAGGATGGCACTGGCCACAGCAGACCCATAGAAAGTCCTGAGCATTGTCTGACAGATGTTAAAAAACCTAAGCCGCCTAAGAAAATAGAGATGACTCTGGCCCTTCCTGTAAAGTGCAGATGTGTTTTAACCCAGTCCAGTTTCTTATCTATGCATACTCCAAGGTTTTTACAGTCCTACAAACGTCCACATCGACTCCCTGGACTGAAACAGGGGTCACAGGTATCCTGGTCTTCCTAAAGTCCACAATCAGTTCTTTGGTCTTTGTCAAATTGAGCTGCAGATGATTCTGCTTGCACCATGTGACAAAAGAGTCAACCACACTATTACTGCATCTCATCACCCTCACTGATGCATCCAACCACCGCAGAGTCATCAGTAAACCTCTGAAGATGGCAGGTCTTTGTGCATTGGCTCAAATCTGTGGTGTAGAGGATGAAGAAGAAAAGGGAGAGGACGGTCCATTGTGGTATAGAGACCATAGCTGTTCCCATCAAAGTACATGATCCGCAGGAGTAGGGGGTACATGTCAAAGTAACACCCACATGAATGGCAGGACTGATGGTTTCCAGCAAAACACTGCAATACACGCAGTTAGGAGAGAGACAACTTTTTTTAAAGTTTGATTTTGTACATTACCACAATGAATTTTAAATTAAAAAACTTAGATCAAGTTGAAGTGCAGACTTTCAGCTTCAATTCAGTGGGGTGAATAAAAAGATTGCATAAAAATGTGAGGAACTAAAGAATTTTAAAGTAATTGGACAAATTAAAAACTGTAATTAAAATGTTTATTTCTAATACTTAGTTGAAAACCCATTGTTGGAAATGATAGCGGAAGTCTTGAAATTATGGACATCACCAATGCTCGACTGTGTTAAGATCAGCTGACTGATTTGGATCTTCAAAAATATTCCACTTCTTTTCTTGAATAAACTCCTGGGTTGCTTTGGCTATATGTTTTGGGTCATTGTCCATCTGTATTATGAAACACCGACCAACCAATTTAACTGCATTTAGCTGGATTTGACCAGACAGCTTGTCTCTGAACACCTCCTCCTCCTGCTTCTGTCCAGTGTCACATCGTCAATAAACACTAGTGTCCCAGTGCGGCTGGCAGCCATGCACACCCAAGCTATCACACTGCCTCTGCTGTGTTTTATAGATGATGTGGTATGCTTTGGATCATGAGCTGTTCCACGCCTTCTCCACACTTTTTTCTTGCCATCCTTCTAATAGATGTTGATTTTTTTTCTTTTATTATTACTATTATTTTTTTAGCAAAGTCCAAACTGTCTTTCTATTTTTGAGGCTTATGAGTGGCTTGCACCTTGCGGTGAACCCTTTATTTACTTTCATGCAGTCTTCGTTTTGTGGTAGACTTGGATATCGATATGGCTACCTCCTGGAGAGTGTTGTTTACTTGGTTGGCTGTTGTGAAGGGGTTTCTCGTCACCATAGAAATTATAATAAACTTTGATTTTTTCTGTTTTCACAGCTTAAGGATGACTTGTTTCACCTGCATTGAGAACTCTTTTGACAACATGTTGTCCGTTCACAG